CTCCTAGTAGTGATGCCAGGAGCCCCTAGTAGCTTCTTGCTCCTAGTAGTAGGGCCAGGAGTCCCTAGTAGCGTCCTTGCTTCTAGTAGTGATGCCCAGCCCCTAGTAGCTTCTTGCTCCTAGTAGTAAGGCCAGGAGTCCCTAGTAGCGTCCTTGCTCCTAGTAGTGATGCGAGGAGCCCCTAGTAGCTTCTTGCTCCTAGTAGTAGCAGCGTCTTTGTTCCTAGTAGTGATGCCAGGAGCCCCTAGAAGCTTCTTGCTCCTATTAGCGATGCCAGGAGACCCTAGTAGCGTCTTTGCTCCTAGTAGTGATGCCAGGGGCTCCTAGTAGCTTCTTGCTCCTAGTAGTAAGGTCAGGAGTCCCTTAGTAGCGTCCTTGCCCCTAGTAGTGATGCCAGGAGCCCCTAGCAGCTTCTTGCTCCCAGTAGTAAGGCCAGGAGTCCCTAGTAGTAATTACAATCATTGTGATGATGTTGAAATCATTGCCTCTCGTGAAGTTGAACACTTGGATCGTAGTTGTTGTTGCCAAGTAGCCCTTTGCCGCGACGTGGGAAGGGTTGAATCTAATTGAATTCATACCAAATTCTCGAACACACGGACAAGAGGACACGCTTATATTCTACACATTGAGATTCCACAAGACCAATTTCATTCATCCAACACTGAACGGTGAAATATGCAATGTTTGACATTGACAGTCCTCAAATACTCTCGGACACCCACGAATGAGAGGGCAATAAATTCCTCACGACATAATGTATTTCAATACCAATTGCCATGAAGCACTCGCAGTCACGGGTTTGTTGGACAACCGCAGCTTATGCAAGCACATTCACAACAACCACAATTGCATGGGCCTGACTGGGTTCTGCGTATTCCATGGCGGTGAAGCCTTTGCCATCCGTACCGGTGACCATCCCCCATGGCGCCTGAGGACACTGACCCAGCTGTAGGTGTGAATGCGCATTGGCAATTTTGGAACATCGTAGAATCAATGCTGAGTCAGACACACTGTGAGGTAGAGTCTGAAAAAATATTGAAACCCAGCATGCTTGGAAGCACACGCCTCGAAGGTTGGAAGTAAGAATGATTTTGAGGACAGTGAGTCCAAAGAGACCATCTGGGTTTGGGGCCTTGGAGCAACCAGACACACTATTAGAAACAAAGGAAAGACAAAAAGGAAGAAAGGTCGGGCATGGTTATACAGTTATACAGCGATACTATGCGATACTCAATTCCGATTTGGACGAAACCGCTCCTTTGAGGTGGTATCGGGGAAGTTAGGACTCTGTCTTTTAAGCCCCAGTGGCGGTGTTTGTTTGTCAGGAATATGAGTGGGCCTTTGGGCAAACCAACAGGTATATAGAGACCTATTCAACTTTTAGTTCTTAACACGGACACAGCCAGTCAGAAATTGAAACAAACACAAGATGTGATTCAGTCAGGGCCCATCAGAAACTGAGGTCCGGCCGAAAACTCTGGCAGCAGCCGTTGCTGTAGTGCTCCCGTTGATCCTTTGGCCGAACCGGCCCTAGAGATTCTTTATGTTATGTGAGCATAACGGTGAACCGAGCTTCATTCCAAGGAGGTTGGAATGGCTATACCTCGTCAGTGCCTCAAAGGGTCATAGGACTCGGATGGTTTTTGTTCGGTTTATCACTAAAGATTCAGGCTTTGGCATTGATTCTTCTCTTCCTGGAGTCGGCCTGTGTGAAGAAGGAGAACTTCTACGATCAACTCTTGAGTTGTCGGTCGACTTTGTTGGCACATCGGTGAGGTTTCCGCATTAGCACGTTGCGCTTGCAGCTTGCACGATGTCCCACTGTTTCGCAAGGAAGCTGAGTGCAAAGAGCTTGAGGCAGACGTTTTGGGATTACATTCACAATTTTCAGCTTGATTCACTTTACATTCACTGTCAGACAGTATTGTCAGGGATACAGAGAAAAATTGGAGGAAAGTGCAAAGGAAGTGGAGGAGGAGATGGTACGTTGCTTCTATGTGTTGATATTGCGGATTCAACAGAAGCCACGACACGGACGTTCAAGATTGCTTGCCAGGAGTGTGCCAGTCTCTACAAGCAGATTCAGGAGCCTGGGACAAACCACTGCATGCAGAATGGGGAAAAACATGATTTGAAGCTGAAGATTCAGGAAGCCGATTGCAACCTGATCCGTGCAACCCACCGGTGGCGGAGGCTGTGCCAAATTCAGCATTTCCTGTTCTGAAACCAGACACCGGGATTTGGGACCTTTCTGTGATGGAACAAGCCGGCGTGACTTGTACAGGATAGCGGGTGAATCTGTCCACGCTTCCAGCTTTGTCCGCCCGACAGTTCCGATGTTTCAAGTGACGCTGTTTGCAACGGTCGATACAAGCTATTAGAAACAATGTTCGCTATTAGGAACAAGTGCCTCGCTAGTAGTAACAGGTGCCTTACTAGAAGTAACAATGTTTGCTATTAGAAACAACAAACACACATGACATGAAAAAATGGAATGAAATGGATGTGATTGGCAGGGCCCAGAGGCAACTCAAGCAACACAGGCACGTGGGTTTGCAAACGCCATCAGGAAGATTGCATACTGCATTTGCATGTGCCTCAATCTTCGTAATTATTGGAACAGGTCGGCCGAAATCACCACCTTCAACAGCTTCAGCGGACTGCGAAGGTGATGGTGGGCATGGCCCAAAGCAGATATCAAAAGGATGTGAGAGGTGTCAAGTTGGTGCGAAGCAGGTGCAGGCTCAGCGTAGACCTTCGAAACTGTTCTCTGAGACTTATTGGCAGGTTCTGCTGCTTTGTTTCCAATGGAGTTCTAGTCCAGATCCTTGGCGTTGGGAAGCCCAGTCGAGGGGATCCTGTCGAACTTGGAGTCTGTTAGGGAGCCACTTCGTTCTTGACGAGGTTCTGTGTGCAAGACTCCAGACAGGCACCAGACCTACTTGACATTTCAAGAGCTCAAGCAGATTGTTTTTGGATTCTCAAGTGCTTAAATTCTTTGTGAAAAAAGCAGACAAACTTCAGATACGAAACTGTGAAAAAGTGAAACTTCAGACAAAGGCGACAATCCTCGGCATCAGCATCTTCACCGGCCCAGGAGTGGAATCTGTGTGAGAGATTTGTTGTGAGTGGAATCGGCATTCTCAAAACAGATGACACTTAGTTGATGATCCACTTAGTTGATGACCTCCTTGATGCACTTTATTGCTGTATGTCCCCAAGCCGAGTGCTTTTTCCTCGTCACGCTGCTTTTTCAATGTCACGCAAGCAGTACAGTTTCGCAAGCTTGTCGTCTATGAACATGAGTTTTCATCACAAGGTTGTTGATTTCCTGCAGTTTTATCACTTCTCACCATGCGCAGGCTAAGAGCTGGATCGATTCTTTACTATATATAACTGGCCAAAGCACATTGCCGTAATAGGTATTGTCATCAACTGATCAGTTTCGAGAGAATGCCCAGTCCCAACAAGAGAAAGTGCTTCGTCTCTTGTTTTGAGATTTCCAATTGTGTTCACCTTGCTCAGTGCACAACAGATGATCTAACTCAATCAGCTTTGTGTTTAATTTCGCCGAGCTCATGGGTATGGTTCAGTTGTATTGAGCAATCCTCTGTTGTATATTTGGTTTTCGATGTTTTCTAAACTTTGCTTTGTTGGATTTGTTCACTTGTGATCAGTTGTGCAGATATTGCAGGGCCAAGGTTACTATTTATTTGTTCCCCAGGCTCTTGAAACATAATATGTTTTTAGCAGTGTTCTTGCTGTTTCCAATTGGTTGAAACGTTTCGAATACCCCATGGCCCATGACTCATGTCTTGTTTCATGGTGCACGTATAGTGTTTTCCGTGCATCAAACCATGTAAATAGATGACCTTTCAACACACCACACACGCAGTTGCTTACAATCTCATAGACTTCTCTTTCCGGAGTATGTCAAGTGTTACAGGGTTTTACCACTTACAATATCATTCGGTCAACTAAGCCATCAACTTCAATCGGCGCTTCTTGAGCTCCACTATACATCGAACATACAACGCCCTTCTACACTGCCTGCATTGCTCTCCTCTTCGTGTTGGGGCAGTTCTTGACAAACTTCAGGCACAGAATCATGGTTGACTTGCCATGCAGAGAACTCTATGATTGCTACTGTCCACTGAAGCTCAGAAAGCTATTGGGTTGGAGGCCATCGCTCTTAGGTTGGAGGCCATCGCTAGTAGGTTGGAGGCCATTTCAAGTAGGTTGGAGGCTATCGCTATTGGGTTGTCCACTGAAACTCAGAATACAGTAAACGCACTGAGCGACTCTATGACCTGGCCAGCGTGCCAGCGCCTGCATCCTTCTGCAGATCATATTTGTAGAATGCGTTGTTCCTGGTACTGTCAAAAAGCTCCTACTAGCAATGGCCTCGAACCTAATAGCGATGGCCTCCAACCTAATAGTGCCCTTGTCACATTCATGTCATGTGATCGCATAGTTTGAGCACGATATGACGGTTACAGTCACGGCTTCGTGAAATCACTGAGCGAGGTTTGCATTCTGGTCACGCTTGATTTGTCGATTGGCAGTGAAAATAAATTGATGCCGGTGTAGTAGTGTCCCGATCATGGCCTTAGTTGACAGATGGGCACTGTGGCTGATGATGTCCCTGACGTTCACTGTGAGCATGACAATCGCAATGCCAGGTGATTTTGTCTTTGGTTTGGTGCAGTTGGTTGTGCGAATCGAGCTGCTAGAGATGGTGCCCCAGAAGTTTGGTTTGCTATCGCATTCATATCCAATCATATCGACTCATCGAAGTCATGAATCATGAATACGATCTCTGGCATGGAGCTGCTGAGCTGTGCTGCTGTTGTTGCAGGGATGGTTCCAAAGACGGTGTTTTGAGCACGTCCTTGTCCACTACTAGTAACAAGAAGCTACTAGTAACAAGAAGCTACTAGTAACACTGGCATCGCTACTAGTAACAAGTGCATTACTACTAGTAACAAGAAGCCGATGTGCTTCGAAGCTGCATAGTTGGACGGCTTTTTTGCTGACCTTTGGCAGCGGTGAAACTTGGATTTCAAGTGACAGTGAGCAAACAAAGCCAGTCGTCCATTGGATACGCTTGTTCGATCGATCAAATACTGATTTTCCTTCAACAAAGCACATGAACTGCTCAAAGGATTGAAACCAAACTGGTGAAACATTTGAGGATCAAATCATTTCAGTCATATATCAACTATATATATATATATATTATACAGAGATATTTGAGGCATTCTAGTATTGCCAATTGGGACCCAAATGGATGCAGCACGCTGGTTTCAGACAAAAGTGTCCACCACTGTATCCGCCCCTCGATGTGTAGGCCAAAAGCATCTTCGAGACCTTACTGTCTGAGCACGAGAAGCATGACATGAAAGAGACACTGTGAGAACAGTCAAAAAGAGCTGTCGCAGCCGCCCACATCCTGCCGTAAAGATAAGCAGATTGAGTGCGTGATCTAGGAGCGAAGGGAGCATTTTGGGCTCAAGGACAAGTAGCTGGAGAGAGGATGAGTTCCGCTCATGGAAGCAGCGCTGCATTCCACAGTTCGCCTTTCTTTCCTCGCCTTGAAAGAGCACAGACTGTGCCGCTGAGGTCTGTCGATGGCCCGTCACCTACATCTCCAGTGAACATCTCTCCTATTCAGGTGAGCCACTGGCAAGCGGTTGGCCACAACCTCGCGACGGTCTTTCAACAGGTACCCATGAGCCCAACCAGCCCATGGACACCAAGCCCACTGGTTGGTCACAAAATCTATGTAAGCTCAGCTGCGCCGACCACTCCGACACCCTCGTCGCCCATTTCGCCCATTCTGGTCGAGCAATGGCAGACGGTTGGACAACGCCTTGCGGCAGTCTTTCAAAATCAGAGCCCACAAAGCTCCTGGGCTAGTCCCACAACATCCCCAGTGGCGTCCCGCCCCAAACAGTGATTTCGGCTTGAAGGCCATCACAAAGGAGTTGCGATTGCATGCAATCCTTTGTTTTTCCTCAGCTACGATCTGATATCAAGATAAGATGTGTCCGACTTGTGTCTTGCAGTGATCTTTGCGCGCAACGCCGCGCTCGGGTAGCCAGGACAGCTTGCCGTGCAGCTCAGCTGCAGCCACCAATGTACAGGAGATGACTTTCGCAAAAGCGAAAAGCCACCCTTGGTGCATGGCAGAAATACTTAATTATTGATCCTAACATATTTACCAGCTGCTGACGATGCAAAATAAAAGGGAGCAGGGCAGAGGTTTTGGCCCATGGGCAACTTTGGTTCGTTTGGATTTGCATGTCCGGTTTCATCACCTTTCACTGGCAGAGCTTCTTCCTACTACAACATTTAAGGCTTAGGTCTCGGACCAAATTACCTCTGTATAGCTAAGTAGTGGCAGGAACATTGTCATAGAGGCCACTCTTACCGTTGTTCCGAACATCCCGCCTGATCATTTGTATTCTCAGCCGTTTTGCCTGGGGTGCCGGGACTCCCGGAATCGCGATTAGCGCACAGCACTTAGTATACGTTACAAACCCAGACTGTTGCATGTTTGAAAGCTTTAGATTGGAAAGAAATGGAAAGAACACATGTTGAACGTGTGAAGGCTTTTTGCTTCTTGGTCGAATTGTACTTACTATATGCATTCACCTTTGTGCAGGCAATGTCTTCGCTTTCGACTATGTTGGAAGCCATCTTAGAATCGCTGAAGAAGTGCCCTTTTGAACAACTGGACTCCGTGCATCCTTCACCTTCTAAGGCTGTAGAGACTCAACTCAACATTTGCATCTTCCGTGGTGTCATGAAGGCGGCCTGAAAGACTTGGGTCGGCGTTGGTTGGCACTGCTTGAAGCCAAAAAGAGCGTTGAAGTCTTATTGTGCTTACCTGAAGGCTCATGCTGACCTGAGAAGAACCAGAAGAAGAGACGGAGCAAGAAGAGGAGGCCGAGCAGATACGGGTGAATTCTGCTATGGCAAACTATCAGTAGCAGTGATCATTGTCAGTGAGCATGACGCTTCAGGCAGATGAGGCTTCTGCAGATGCAATTTCGAGAGCAAATGCAGAGAATGCAGCGACCAGAAACGCTCTCAGTTTGTTGAGCTTAGTTAACGACCGCATGTGGCAGTTTGCAGCTACTTTGAGAATGGACTTGACAAACCCTGGCTACTACAAACAGTGGGAAAGTGCATCTTTTTGGTCTTTCGTGTTGTTTCTCTTTTTCTTTGGACCATCAGACCTTTCTTTTTGTTTCCTATTGTTAATTGCTTATTTGAGTTTAGACCGTTCTTTATCCTTTATTCCAGTTTCTCCTTTTGATGTGACCTTAGTGTCCAGTACGATGACTATGACTAAGGGACTAAACCAATGTATATACCTTGTGCTGCGGGACCCAGGAGAACTCCGGGAGAGCTGGTGCCGTACAGTTTTGCACTTAGCTCCTGCAAGATTCATGCGAACAAACCTTTCAAGTCTCCAGTCTTGCCCAAAGCATTCTGTCAAAGGTCCTTGGGTTTTTATGTTAAGGCCTAGCACCGCCATGCAACGCACCAGTCTGGTGTTTGCTGTGAAGAGGGGGATCTCAAAAAAGGATATCCTCAAGAAGAGGAGCTTCACAAGGAGTGATGCTTTGCAAAAGTTGCAGGATGCCCTACAACAATTTTCCAAGGAGGATCGATACAAGGCATTGCATGCTTTGCCGCAAGCTGTGAAGACGGCGCTTTTGGTCCATATGGAACATGTCAAGACAGGCGGAGTTTCAGGCACTAGAAGCTTGACTTCTCAAGCTCCAGGTGATTCAGGTGTGTCTTTATCTCCCAAGAGAAAGACTCTGTGCAGACGAGCTGTGAGTGTGCACCGCAAGAGGGGAGGATGGGTCGCCAGGTTGAATGTCCTCCCTTACTTGTCAGTTGCCACTCGATGTACTCAAACTCCAGAGCAGGCGACTGCCATGCTGAAAGTCTTGCAGAGGGCGAAAGAATTAGCATTGCAAGCTGCGACCTGCGAAGCGGATGCAGTTTACGAAGCATTGAGGGCTGCATGCAGAGAGCACCGAATGGCATTGTCAGATCTAGCACTTTCATTTTGTGCGTCTGTCGGAGCTGAAAGTTTGGTGGGCTGCAGCATCAGTGGCAAATATAGCACCAGCTTGGAAGATGTCTTGGTACAAAGGCATTTGTTGCTGGAAGGCCGTACGCAGGGATGGCCACAGCTTCGGAAAGCCTGCTTGAAAGTCATGCAAGCCTCTGTGCAGCCTCGATCTGGGGTCTTTGGTCGGGCCTGCCCCAAAGCCATGGCAGAGGCCGAAGCCGAGCGTTTGGCCCAAGTTCTGGATGACAAACGAAGAGCGCTGTGTCAGAAGCGCTTGGAGAAGGCTTTCAGAGATGCAGTGAAGCTAGTTGAGCTCGTGCTGCGGAAGCAAGAGCAGCAAGTGTCGCGAAAGCGTTCCTTTGTGGTTGCAAAGTCGTCAACGCCAGTCGCCTTCTAGCACCCCAGAGGATCAGTCAATAGCAACAGGACAGACTTTCGATGTAGCTGCTTGCTTTTATTGAAGAAAACAGCTAGGCACTAATAGCACTGCAGCGATTCTGGTGAATAGGGAGACCCTTGAAGAGCTGTGAAATGAGTGGATTCACAGGACATCACAAGAGAAGCTGCCCTGAAATGGTATGAGTCCAGCACAGAGGAACTGACTTTGCATCTCCATTTGGGCCGCTCGATTCTAGAACGATCGAAACCAGACCCTCATGACGAAATATAGAAAAGTTATGACATGATGAACAGATACATGCGTGTGTGGAATGCATTTAAGACAAAAGTACCTGCAAGCAAGCTTGACTTTTACCACAGATGCGGCATTAAACTGTGACACCTCCCTTTGCACTTTTTTGGCTCAAAGCTGCTTTTCAAATCAAAGGCTTGAAACGATTGGACACTTTGGAAGGTTTGCTCACATGTTCGAATCCTTCTGTTGCTTAAGACACCTGAATTAGGACTTCTGAGGTCAACGGACACTTATACTGGTGAAAACGCAATCCAGCCATTTACACTAGTTTGATTTAAAAAGACCCTGAACAACAGAGCTTGATCCAAAGTGACTGAGACTTTGTCCTCTGCAACAAAGCGACGGAGGGAACAGCTACTTTGCCATGGCGGATGTGACGACTGCAGCGGAGCCAGCTGTACAGGCGCCAGCGCAGGCACCAGCACAGGCAGCCCCAGCTGCGGCACCTGCGCAAGGCAAAGAGCTGAAAGCTGCCACTGGACATCGTCTTGACCGCCAAACAGAAAGGATTGTTTAAAGGCCGCTCTGCCTCCCTACCTATATAATAGCGATGGCCTCCAACCTAATAGCGATGGCCTCCAACCTAATAGCGATGGCCTCCATCCTACTAGCGATGGAGAAATTTGTTCTGCCCATTTCTAGCCATCCTTCTTTCTGGATCTTCAAGAATTGATTGTACGCAACGTTGGTCAGAACTGCCTCCGGGCCTTTCCTGTGAAAAGCCGGTTCCACACCAGAGCTAATTAGTTTTGTGCGATTCTTTCGATTGCAGAAACATGGGAACATTTCTTCCTGACATTGGGAGGTACAGCTGCAGCACCAGTTGGCTGGAATCTTAGCAGTTTCTAATGTAGATTTGAACATGGAGCTCAACCTTCGCGCATGGTATTGAGTGTTTCATTTTGCAGACTTGTGCAAAGGAATAAGGAGCTCACGTTTCATAGGCTCATTGTTGCTGTTTGCTCGGATACCCTGCAGCACAGGTATTCCACGGGTGTCATAGACAAAGGAGCAATTGTCAATAGACAACTCCCGTTTCTCTTTTTGTGAAGGTCAAAGCCAAATTGCACCGGGTTATCCATCTCAATATGGACAACCTCCAGGTTATGGAGGATATGGCGGCTGTGGTTATGGCGGATACCAACCAGGAATGCCTGGACAACCCATGCCTGGGATGCCAGGACAACCTGGGCAGATGCAACCTATACCGCCTCAAGATATGCGTCCTCAGTTGAATTTCCGCACCGTGGTGCGCTGTTTCATGGAGATTGCTGCCATCATCCAGGGCTTTTCGCTGATTCTAATGATGGGAAATGGTTGGCTTCAAGAAATGGGCTCCAATGAAGAACAGCCAATGAGGCGCTTTGCTGTATGGCTTGGAAGCTCGGTACGTGGAGCTGTGTCTTCGTTGATTCCCTTGGCTGCCTTTCGAAAACGCCATAGGTCACTGGAGGAGATTTGGGATACACAACCAGCCCCACCACGTCCCACCAGATGGTGGGTAGTGCTTGGGATGGCCTACTTTGCTGCATCCTTTTTGCAGGAATGGAACTCCTACAGAAGAATTCGGCAAACAGTGCAAAGAACTCCACCGTCAGGTGAAGGTAGTCGAGGAAGTGCCAGTGCAAGTAACCTTTTGGACTTCTACATGCAGAAGCAGCAAGAACTTCATAGACAGAAGACCAGACAAGGAGGGGTTTGGATATTTTTTGGAAAAGCGTACATGCCTTTTTGGTTGTTTTTCCTCTTACATCATGAGTTTGAGAGACTAGAAGGCGCCTCAGATCCACCAGGCAAGGGCTGTTGCTGTTTTGGTACATACTCACAAGATCTCACAAGAAGCTATTAAAAATTGGTTCCCTCCAGGTTCAGAAGCTGTTCTGAGCTTACTTGACTTCTTGGCTTCTTCTCTCCGTCCCACAAAAACGAACGACCCTGCCGTGACTGGTCAATGCTTGCCTACCGAGGTGAAAGCACCAACTGGGCCAGTGTAGAAAAAGGCCGTGGGAACTTCAAGAGCTTCGGAAAGCCTGTGGAAAGCCTTTCGACAGCTTTGGACTTTGGACCGCCTTACGACACTTTATGCAAGCTAGGCTCAAACAACATCAGGTCTAGGTTGTGTGGATTCACACATGACTGCACAAACAACCCCCTTACAGTGCGGTTGACTACAGAATCTTCACCCTTTGGATAGCAACCTCATCAAAGATGCGCCATAACACCAGCATAAATGCCCAGTTGCTTCTTAACTGACTGTTGTGGCGACAAGCTTGCCATGCTCTGAAGGTGCGCAAAACTCCGGCCGGAACACTGTTGGGGGGGCTTCGTAGCGCGCAGGGTGCATAGGCTCACGACCATTTTGTTCGGAGAATGCATGTTGACGCTTGGTGCAAAAGTATGAGTAGCCTTTTGATGTTACATCATAGCCTTCTGAGCTTCCAGTGAATTGCTATGATCTGATTCAGGCACATTGTGGAGGACGAAGAGGCTCTGAACGATGGAGGCTCACCATCTTGAGCACGTGCGTACTGTCATGTAGCGCGCTTTGCAAGCTGTGATTCACTCTGATGTGTCAGGGATATGGAGGGGGTGTAGTCAGCGTCCCAGTGTGGCTAGTATCCAGTGGCACGTTAGAACATTTGGATATCTCAGCCAGTGCATGGCTGTGTTCTTAATTAAGAGAACTGTCAAAGATGGCCTAGGAGAAAGTCGTGGTAAGGAAGCCCGACACGCCAAGCTGCCACTGTTCCTGGAACTAACACCTCAAAGCTTCACACAGCACTACGACTTGACATATTTTGTGCCAGGCATGCAAGAGCACTCCTGTCATGTCATTTGGGCCACTGTACATGGCTCTCTCTGCTTGTGTGCTGTGTTTGTCTTGATGGCCCGTGCAGAGGTTTTCGTCTTGCAAACAATAAGCTACTAGTAACAAGTGCCTTACTATTAGTAACAAAAAGCTATTAATTTAACATTAACTTGATTCTAATAGCTTTTTGTTGCTACTAGTAAGGCACTTGTTACTACTAGCGTGGCACTTGTTTGTCTTGATGGCCCGTGCAGAGGTTTGTCTCCCTTGCAGCTGTTCATCTCAATGTAGCGCCATCCACTGCGCAGCGTGCGCCTGCGCATCGATGGGTCTCCGCAGCTGCGCCTTGCTCTTTGGGCTCTTTGTGCATTTGCAGGTTGCCAGCAGTGCAAAGGTCGGGGTGGAGTAGAAGTAGCCACAACGGAGTCATTGAAATCATTTTGCTATTAGGTTGGAGACCATCGCTATTAGGTTGGAGACCATCGCTATTAGGTTGGAGAGCATCGCTATTAGGTCGGAGACCATCGCTATTAGGTTGGAGGCCATCGCTATTAGGTTGGAGACCATCGCTATTAGGTTGGAGACCTTCGCTATTAGGTTGGAGACCATCGCTATTAGGTTGGAGAGCATCGCTATTAGGTTGGAGGCCATGCTATTAGGTTGGAGACCATCGCGATTAGGTTGGAGACCATCGGTATACAGGTTGGAGACCATCGCTATTAGGCTGGAGACCATCGCTATTAGGTT